TCACGGTCTGTGATGGGTCCAGGGATCTGTCTGTCACGGTCTGTGATAGGTCCAGAGACCTGTCTATCACGGTCTGTGATGGGTCCAGAGACCTGTCTGTCACGGTCTGTGATGGGTCCAGAGACCGGTCTATCACGGTCTGTGATGGATCCAGAGACCTGTCTGTCACGGTCTGTGACGGGTCCAGAGACCTGTCTGTCACGGTCTGCGATGGGTCCAGAGACCTGTCTATCACGGTCTGTGATGGGTCCAGAGACCTGTCTGTCACGGTCTGCGATGGGTCCAGAGACCTGTCTGTCACGGTCTGTGATGGGTTCAGAGACCTGTCTGTCACGATCTGTGATGGGTCCAGAGACCTGTCTGTCACGGTCTGTGACGGGTCACGTGAGTGTCTGTCACGGTCTGTGGGGTGAGGGGGGGTGGGCCCAAATTTCTACCCCTAAACACTTCAACACTCCTTTCAGATCGTGTTTCACAAAATTTTAAAACGATTTCATTTTCTATTGAGACATTGCGGAGCTGTTCGATGCTTAAAATGTTTGTTTGCTGGAAACCCTTTAGGGTCCCTAGTTGTCGGAAAATTTTGTCTTAAAACTATCTCCATTTGAAGGTTTCATATGCAGCAACTTGTATGAAGAGTTTTAGAGCTGGTAGATTTTTAATCTTCGAGATGGAGAATCTTGAAAATATTCTTGTATTATTTATTACTCTTCCAAACGTATCTAGTTTTGAAAAACTCTTTACTCGGAGATACGAAATCTATGAACTCTGAAATTCTTCATACAAGCATCTGTATATGAGACCTTCAAATAGCGATAGTTTCAAGAAAAAATTCAATAACAGAAATTCTCAGGGAGCTTGGGACTCTATTGAGACCTATGGCAAATAGATATAGTAAAAATTCGATAGCTTCGCTAAGTTTCAATAAAAACTAAAATCTTTTTACGGTCTCTCTTAGAATACTATCTAGTATCTACAAATGAACAGTCATTGAAATCAAAAGAAGATATCTTTGGAGGTTCGCTGATTAAATTATTATTATAGTAGAACTTGATAATTGATGGGTGCAGTCGAACTGGAGTTGGACATAATAGATTTTTATCAATGAAGATAAAATTTCTGTTAACTTGGTAATCCTGTCAGATGGAACTTAAAAAAATCTAACATTGAAAATATTGATTACAGAAGCGAATGCAAAAGTATTCAATTTTATCAAGTTAAATCGGATAGAGCATAACTTTTGCACTCAGAGTTGCAGTAATATCGCCAAAAAACCTATATGAGTGTTGGATTTTAATTCAAAAGACTTGAGTACAGTTAGAGTGACACTTAGTTGAGTTTGTCCATCTCTAACTATTTCTCTTTCTATATGTTTAGAGCATTTCTTATATGGAGATCAAACCGGCTAGTCAACTTCATGCCAAACTATTTGAGTAAGCCATTGTGATTGTTTTATATCAAATCACTCCATTTGGTTCAATTCTCATATAGTAACATTGCAAAGATCGAGAAAGGCATCGGTTCTGAATTCTTAATGGTGCTAGTAGCGTTGTTCATCACTATTGGTTGTTTAATAGTATCTTTCATTGCCAACTGGCAAATGACCTTGGTCATGCTATGTTTGTTGCTTTTGATCATTGGTAGCTCATTTTTCTTTTCTAAGGTATGAAGTATTGTTCAATCAATTGAATCTCTATGAATTGTTGCAGCTCATTGCTAATGAAACAATGAATGAGTTAATGACATACTCGAAAGCAGGACAAATCGTTCAAGAAGTGTTTAGTTCACTAAGAACTGTTCATTCTCTCAATGGTGGCAAATTTGAGCAAAAACGGTAGAGAAACATATAAATATAGTTTACTCATATGGCATCATAATGCATGCTGCTTTTTTTTATTGTATTTAGATATGAAAGAGTATTGTATTCAACTCGCTGGAGTAACATATGCCAAGGTTTCATGTATGGAGTGCATTTGGGATGGCTAGCTCTAAAAACCTATCTAGTTTATTCAGTTGGCTTTATCTTTGGTTCTCTTGTTATGTCACACAAAGATCATCTTAGTTTGAATATTACTGATATTCTTGTCGTAAGTAATTCATATAATCATTCAATATGCATATGGATATGAGGCTACTATTTTGATGCAGGTCGTCTTCAGCTTTACACGATGCTTGACTTTCTATAATGTTGTTGGTCTTTTGTTTCAATCTTTTTCAGAAGCTCAAGGTGCAGCAGCAGCGGTGTTTCAACTTATTGACGAGGTAAATCTGAGTAAATTGAGGTCTCATATCGATAGCAATGCTTTTCATTTGTTTACATGATGTAGGAAAATGAAGCAAGCATCAATGAAACAGATATATGGAAAGAGGATACAAAGTCGATTTGTAACATCAACGGTGATATTGAATTTGACAATGTTAACTTTAATTATCCATCTCGAAAAGAAGCATCAGTTCTGCATAACCTCTCTCTTATTGCACGTGCTGGTCAGATAACTGCCCTGGTAGGTTCTAGTGGTTGTGGTAAGTCTTTTTAAAAACAAAAATGTTAAAATGATTTCCTTTCTGTTCATAATTTATACATAGGAAAAAGTACATGTATATCACTGCTTCTTCGTTACTATGAACCTCAGTTGGGTCAAATAATGATCGATGGTCGACCAATCACAGATTACAATGTCAAACAACTTCGACAAAACATTGGAGTTGTTAGTCAAGAACCTGTATGTTGTTTTTTCGTTTTTCTTTTCTTCCTTACATTTTAATTCAATATTGTAATAGATTCTGTTTGGTATGAGTATTTATGAAAATATTCGTTTTGGTAAAGTAAATGCAACACAAGCAGAAATTGAACAAGCAGCACAAGAAGCAAATGCACATAATTTCATCATGCAATTACCAGATGTTTGCACCAAATATTTACATTTATCTAAATATATGTATCACTATGTCTTGTTTAGAAATATGAAACACTAGTTGGTGAACGTGGTATACAGTTGAGTGGTGGTGAAAAACAACGTATTGCATTAGCTCGTGCTCTTGTCAAGCAACCTAGTTTCCTTTTACTGGATGAAGCAACAAGTGCACTTGATAATGTTAACGAAAAAATTGTTCAAGAAACACTTGATAGGGCATGCAAAGGTAATAAATGCTTTTTTTTGCATATCAAATTGATATATCATTCTGTACAGGTCGTACAACTATTGTTATTGCTCATCGTTTGGCCACAATTCGAAATGCTCATCAAATATATGTATTAGATGATGGAAGTGTGATTGAGCAAGGTACGCATGAAATATTAATGGCAAAAAAAGGAGGAAAATATCAAGCAATGGTTAAGCATCAACAAATGGAAAAAATCGATGATAACATAGATGATATGATGAGCATGCAAAAAGCACAAGAAGAAGATGAAAAGTGGATATGTATGTTAATATTCTAATAGAAATAGTTTTCATTTTCATTTGTCTTGTATTTTAAACAGTTGAACGCTCTCGTTTACTTAGCGATAGTGGAATTGTTGATGTGAACAAGGTACACACACTAGTGCAGTACTTCATAAAAATCAATTGATAATTTCTATTTTAGCAAAGTTCGAAGCCATCCAGGCGAAAATTTGTCTTTTTAAGACTCTTGTCAATGAATAGCCCTGAGTGGATCACGATCTCGATTGGGTGTATAGCATCTGTACTTTGTGGCGGAGTTCAACCATTGTTTGCATTTCTACTTGCCAAAATAGTCGATGTGAGTAATCTACTTATATAAAAATCGTGTGAAAAGAATGACACGAGGACATCGTCTACTTTCGATTTATTTATTGCATAGGCATTCAAATATTGTTCAACCTCTGAACGACGTCGTCAGGTGTTGACTACCAGTCTTCTCTTTTTACTTTTGGGTGTTGTTTTTTTGATTCTTCGGATCTTTCAGGTGAAATATTTGCTTCTGAGTTTCATCAATAAGTCATTCACTCTTTTCTACAGTATACAGCTTTTGCTATATCAGGATCGAAATTGACGCAACGCATTCGTTCGAAAGCTTTTGAATGTCTACTTCGTCAAGAAGTTGCTTATTTCGATAGACCTGAAAATAGTTCTGGTGCAATTTGTGTTCGCCTTTCCTCTGATGCGTCAGCTATCCAAGATATGACGGGCATACGATTAGGATTCATCTGTGAAGCTATCGCGTTATCGTTTTTTGGAAATCTATTTGGATGTCTCATAAGTTGGCAATTAACATTGATTGTTTTTGGTCCTCTTTTAATCCTATTCTCAGTCACCTATGCGGATGTGTCCTTAAATATACGGTTGAATGAAAAATCTGGTCAAATTATCGGAGGAGCAAGCGCGGTAAGTTATGATTTTACCTTATTATTGTTTTTTTTTGCTAGGAAAAATTAATTTCTCATGAATTGTTTGATAAATCAAATTCACTAAATTCAATCTGAATTTTACTTCTGCAGCTTACTGCTGAAGTTCTTCACCACATGCATACAATAAAACAGTTGTCAATAGAAAAGGAAGTTTTACGACAATATTCTGCACTTGTGCATGAAGTATTTCTGTTAGTCAATCGACTTCTATACATGATTGAATTTTCATCCGATCTTGCTTTATCATAGATTGTCTTGGAAACCTGTCATAATACATTCAATTGCATATGGTCTATTGTGGATGACAGAGTCATACACTATGACATTTGTATATTGGCGTGCTCTCGTCCTTGTTGAAAAGAATGAACTTACCTCAAACCATATTTTGATGTAATTAAAAATACAGTTTGATAATCTAGCCATAACGTTTTACTATCATTTCAATATATTAGGGTCTTTGCTTTTGCTGTATTTTCGTTACAAGCAGTAAAAATCATCGGAATGACGTAACACTCTGAATTTCTACTTTGCTTTTTCTTCTGCTCTCTCCGTTGTAGGTCTAAGCGTATCGCTGCATCAGTTTCAGCTGCTAAAACATTTTTTGATTTATTTGATCGAAACCCAGCTATCGATAATACATCTATTGAAGGCCAAGAATTGGTAAGAAAATATAGAAGATTACTATTTTCTTTCAATCATGAATACATCATGTATGTCATGATTGGTGTAGGTTGATTTTCATGGAGAGATAAAATTTGATCAAGTCAAATTTATCTATCCAACTCGACCAACATCTATTGTTCTTAACAAATTTCAATTGAATATCAAGCCAAGTGAGTACGATAAATTTCGATTTAATCATTTTTTTTTGTAAATTTTATTCACTGATAAGGTCAACGTGTAGCTCTTGTTGGTATGCTTGAATTAAATGCTTCTTTTAAGTATTAATTATATAATATGATGCGTATAGGGGCATCCGGATGTGGAAAATCAACAATTATTCAGCTGTTGGAACGATTTTATGATGTTACAAGTGGTCAACTAGTAAGTATTTCTTCGACGTATAGTGCAAATAATTATGAAAAAAATTTTCACTCAATTTAGCTTCTTGATGGCATTGATATTCGAAAACTAAACATTCATTGGATCCGTTCTCATTTTGGCCTTGTGAGTCAAGAACCAATTTTGTTCGATTTAACAATTGCTGAAAATATAGCATATGGCTTAGAAAATGTTCCAATGGAAGATATTATCAATGCAGCACGTAAAGCTAATATTCATCAATTTATTCAGAAATTGCCTCAAGTTAAACAATACAAAATTATATAATGTATCTATTACTATTTTATATATCTTTTAGGGTTATGAAACAAAAGTAGGGTGGAAAGGCAGTTTTCTGTCAGGTGGTGAGAAGCAACGTATTGCTATTGCTCGTACTCTTCTTCGTCAACCTAAAGTATTGCTCCTAGATGAAGCTACAAGCGCTATGGATTCACACAACGAACAAGTTTGTTTATTTTTCTATTTATCAATTAAAGCTTCATCTTCACTGATCAATCTTAGATTGTACAAGAGGCTCTTGAAAAAGCTCAAAGAGAAGATCCTAGTCGAACGTCACTCATTATTGCTCATCGTCTTTCAACTATTTGTTCATGCGATTTGATCTGTGTACTTGATAGAGGACATATAGTGGAGAGTGGTACTCATAAAGAATTGATAGAACGACGTGGAGCTTATTATAAAATGCTGGCTAAAAATAATTTACAATGATTATCAGTGAACTATTTTGAAACTGAAAATACACTTAATCAAGTATTAACAGAAACTTTGCCTAAAACCTCTGACACATAAAATAGTTACATTGCTCAATTTACTCTACGATTATTAAACTCTATAATAAATTGATTGTTTCATTGAATTACAGCATATTGCATCGATTGTTTTTAGCTTATTAATCATATTTGAACATAGTACAGATAACCATGATCTCAATAGCTACTTAG